GTAGAACAAGAATATTTGATTTCTAAAATTGAATTGGAGGAGTGGCAAAGGAGAGAGGAAATTAGATTGTCTCAACTAGCAAAAAAGAGATGGTTGACTGATGGTGATAAAAACTCTAAATTTTATCATGCTTAGTATCGCAGAGACGCAGAAAATCAAAGTTGAATAAGATGAAGCTTACGGACGAAACTATTCTATCAACACCGCAACAAATACATTCAGAAGCTGTGAAATATCTTTAGACTATTCTTACAAGCAAGGAAAGCAGAACTTTGCCACATTTATCATACATCATCGAATCAGCAGTTTCACAAGAGGAAGGAGAGGTGCTATGTGCCCTACCGACAGAGGCTCGAGCTGCAACTCTTTCGATACCAGTGGATAGCGCACCTGGCCTGATGGATATGTGTCAGCTTTCTTTATCAAGTGCAGGGATATTATTAAAGGGGATTTAGTGGAGGCAACAAAGGATTTTTTTGAACGAGGGGTGCCACCTCGATTTTATACATCATCATATATTGTGCTGATACCAAAGGTGGAAAATCCTAGTGGTTTTGATAAGTTTAGACCAATCAGCCTTTGCTGTGTTGTGTATAAATTTTTTTCGAAGATTTTGGTTCAGAGAATGAGTGATATTCTTTCTAAGATTATCTCTTAAGAGCAAGGAGCCTTCATTCCAGGTTGGAGTATTTTTGAGAACATTACACTCACATAAGAATTAGTGAATTCTCTTAATAAAAGGGTTCGTGGTGAAAATGTGATGGTTAAAGTAGATATGGCTAAAGCATATGAAAGAGTGGAGTGGCAGTTCTTGCTTCATGTGTTATCATCTTTTGGTTTCCAGGCGAGGTTTTGTAAGTTAATTGATCAATGTATATTTACACCATGGTTCTCAATGATGATGAATGGAACCATGCAAGGCTTTTTTAAATCTTCGCGTGATCTTCGCCAAGGAGATCCATTATCTCCTTATTTGTTTATTATCATGAAAGATGTGATGACTAGATTGTTGAAGAGAGATTTTCAGGAAGGACGGATTGGATGCTTCTCACACCCTAGGGGCGCAAGTGCAATAACTCATTTGATGTATGCTGATGATTTAGTATTTTTTGCCAATGCAGGGAAAAAGTCTATCATAGAACTCAAGAAAGATCTATGTCTATATGAGAGCTGGTCTGGTCAAAAGATCAACAAGGAGAAGACTGTTATATTTTTCTCAAAAAATTGTTCAATGGCTTAGAAAGGAGAAAAACTAAGGGACACTAGTTTTAAGGAGGGTCAATTCCCAATTACTTACTTGGGAGTTCCGGTGGTTCAGGGTCGATTAACTGCCCGCCATCTCGAGCTTTGGTGGAGAAAATCAGAAAGAAAATTGCAGGGTGGAAGCTGCAATTGATGTTGCAAGGGGGCAGACTGGTTTTACTTTGTCATGTCCTTATGTGTATGGCTACTCTTCTATTGTCCGTGTTGAATGTTCCAAAATCTATTTTTAAGAGACTTAATTCCATCCTTTCATCTTTCTTTTGGGGTGAGGCTAATGGGAGGACTAGGAAAAAATGGTGTTCTTGGGATAAACTCTGTAGATCGGTGGTGGAGAGGAGGATTGGAGTTAGAAAATTTGAAGATGTCCAGCGTGCCCTGCACATGAAGTTTGCATAGAAATTACTGTCATCAGATTACTTATGGGCAACTTTTTTTCGGGCAAAATATACTAAGCATGGCTTGATTGATGTTTCCACTTTGCGAAGTATAGGTTCTCGATTTTGGTGCTCTATTGTGGGATGCATACTTGATGTGATTAACAATAGTCAATGGAGGATCGGGGAGGGCTCTATCTCATTCTAGTATGCTCATTGGTTAGAGGATGGCCCGTTGGCAAGACATGCATTACATATTGATCAACCAACTCTCAAAATCAAAGATATTTGTTTGGACAGTGGATGGAATGTGGATCAATTACTGTAACTTGTAGGGGAAGACAAAGCCGCTAGTGTTATGGCTAAGGTGAGTAAATGTAGAGAGGGGGATGATGTTCTTATCTGGAAAGCGAGTAGTCAATGAACCTTCTCTTCCAAGAGTGCATGGGACATGATTAGAATTTGGAATCCTCAAACCTCTTGGGGAAGATGGGTATGGCATTCTGCACTCCCAAAAAGATTTTCATTGATAATGTAAAAGGCTTTTTCTAGAGCTCTAAGTGTTGATAGTAGAGTTCTTCAAATGGGTGTAGCCTTAGTTTCTCGTTGTGATTGCTGCTTTACGAGAAAGGAAGAAACTACTAACCATGTTCTGAGTACAGGCGAGGTGGCAAATGAAGTTTGGAGGAAAGTTTCAGTGGCTTTGGACATCCGGTGGAGATCTAAACAAAACTGGCATGATAGAGTACGTTTATTGTGGGCCAGAGCAGATAAAAAATCTCAGGCTGGGTGCTTACAAGGGCTACTTCCAACTATACTGACATGGAGGCTATGGATGAGGCATTGTAAAGCGAGAATGGAAGGTGTTCATGAAACTGTGGAGCAGATTTTTCGCTCGATAAAATTCTGGCTACAACAAGTGTCATCCAATCTAAAAAAGGAACAAGCTCTCTCGGGGTCAGAAGAATTACTTCTTAGAAACTTTGATATTAATCCAATGGTGACACAAGAAAGACCTCTTCGGATCGTTAAATGGGCTAAACCTGTGGCTGGCAGAGTAAAACTAAATGTAGATGGAAGCTGTCTAGGTAATCCAGGTATGGCTAGCGGTGGTGGGGTTGTGAGAGATGAAATGGGCAGGTTGATAGCAGGTTTTTTGTCTTTCTTCGGATATGGCACTAACAATGAGGCGGAGTTGTGAGCGCTTATTGATGAATTGACCTTGTGTAAGGATTTGGGATTAAATCAGGTTGATATTGAATGTGATTCATTGTTGGTGGTCTCTTGGATTTTGATAAGGAAATGTACGTTATGGTACTTGTGGGATTTTTGGGAAGATTTGATAGAAATTCTCAAGAATTTTGACTTTCACATCATGCATCAGTACAGAGAAGCTAATCAGATTGCGGATGAGTTGGCGAAATTTGGTGCGACGGGGAAGATAGAACGGTTTTTATCATTTATGGAACTACCAAGATTTTGTCGAGGGTTGATCCGCTTAGATAGGGTGGGTGTGTTGTTCATTTGTCAGAAAAAATAAGCTATTTTCTGTTGTTTGATTATATTGATAGGAGCTTAGTCTATTCGTTAGTTTTATTGATTATTCGGTTGTTATTATGGTTTTCCTCTACCTTAAGTGAGGGTTATTATGAATAAATGCCTGATGGGCTGTTTAAAAAAAAAAAAAAAAAAACACAATGGCATTTATTATACATCTGCTGAAACTGAAGTTAGACATTGTTTTCAAAATAAATCATTAAGGCCATTGGCATGGTACTGAAACTTCTGGACCAGAAGTTTCTCATTCAGATTTCCAAGCATAGAGAAAATAGCAGAAATCTATGGAGGACTGGTTTGCTAAATCTTCCCTATCGAGATGAATACTTTCAGGTTCATCTGCACATTGCTTGAAGATAAATATGCCTGCTTCTTGATGCTGGCCATTATACAGCCATTCATGAACGTCCCACAGAATTTGTAAGGGCAAGTCATCCGCCAAATTGTTTCATTGCCTCTAAATCTCCATTGCATATTTGATATGCAAATTGATATAATCCCGTCTATACTAATCCACATTTCGGGATCACAAGGGCTGGATAGAGCAGACTCAATGATTATGTTGTGCTCCCTTTTACCCTGTCCTAATGTAGTTTTGGTGTAAAAACATTTCTTTAAATGCCTATTTCCAGATCACCTAGCAATAAAACCACCTCTTCTTCAGAAAACAGTGCTATATAATAATCAGAGGCTGGTTCTTGGCTGCTACTAAATTTTACAGAGCGTAAATCCCAGAAAACATCAATGTGCTTCTCGTCAACTTTAAATGATTTCAGGCCTTTTTTCTCCCAAAATTGCCATGTTTTAAGATCAATTTTGCACATGAAATGATCTTCGTCATAAGGGTTTTCTACCATGATATAAAGAGATTGGCTAATCATATTTTTGGCCCATGTTACAATTATGTTTTAAAACATTTCCGCCAGTTGGCTCTGAGAATGGAGACAAAATTCTGTGCAAGTTTATTTGTGGTTGGCTCATCCACAGCCTTCTCTTCCAATTGCCCCTTATTTAAAAAAATCACAGGAATTATAAACATTTCTGACCTATTCAATCAGCATTTCCTACCTATTCAAATGTAAGAATCCCGGAAATTTTTTCATAAAATCCATCTGGGCCTTCCAAATCAATATCCATTTTTTTCATTTATCCCAAGGAGAACTAAAACTCATAATGAAAATCACCACTATCACCTTTCTGTCTAATCTAATTTTGTAATTTTGCCTATGAGAAGAATATAATAAGACACTAATTATAAAGCTGCATTTTACCTCGATTTTCTTGAATCCATAGAATTCAAAAGAGGATAAAATCTGCAAGAATTGCCAGTAAATTGATCCAACAATTTTTTTTCTTGGTTTTGCTCGTCGGAGATGTACAATTTCTGATTAAGAATCAGAATCAAAACTTAGGAAATCAATCTGGAAAAGAAAGATGGGAGTGTAAATGGGGCTTTGGCAAATAAAATAGGCATGAAACCTCTCTTTTCCAGAAAATGCGTATGCCTTATCTTTATTGATAGATTAGTATTTCACAATAGCAGATGTATAAACTGCCGTGTTGTATTCTTGGCAGTCTTGAAATTTCTATACTAAATTTAGCAAAAGATAAATAAAAATAAAAAGTAGTATCATTGGTTCAAACCTTAAAAACTTAAAGAAATTCACAGGTTCAACCCATCCGCATCTGAGTTGATATTTCAGGTTCTAATGCTCATAAATATACTGAATAGTCTACACATAAATGCTGTATTGCTACAATATAGGTACTGGAGAAGAGGCTCATATTTGATGACAGAGAGAGAGCTCATTCCATCCTTCAAAAGCTTATATTTATATCAATAACTCAATTCATGCACTCATCTTCTTTTCCTGTTTTTTGTGGGGGTAACAATATCTTTCAGTTTAAGTAAGGGAAAACTGTAAAATATCTCATATGAATTACATATCAAGAAAGACAAGACAATCTCGAAAAATTAGAGCATTGACCGTATAGAAGACAAGCTTCAAAACTTGTATAAAAGGAAGGAGCAGGTCTCTAATATTCGCCTGATACCATTCAAGTTCCCAACCCTGAAGACCATGCAAAATGGATCCAAAACTTAAGGAGATTCTGTACATTCATGATCACATACTCTAAATTTGTTAAGGTCAAACCATGAATTTTCCTCTAGGTGTAGATCTGCTCCTCCGAAATTCAGGCACTGATGAATTGCCGGCTTCCTTTACATTCTGAAGTACACTGTTGGGAAATTTATTTTCATGGTACCCGGCCAATGAGGGTTCCACCAATTGTGCTGGTTCTCTGCTTCGGGAAAAGAAAGTTAATGTCAACTAAAGCAAAGAAGATGCCAAGCAAAGCTATCATATTTGCAACGAATTTCATAACATATTTCAGTCATACCTCGGCTCAAGATGCTGAGAGCTCCTTGAGAAGCTTCTATGAAGCTTATGTGTTCTTGTTGTACCACATACTGGCAACTGAACAGGCTCATTTTCAGGATTTGAAAAATCTGTTTTTTTAGCCTCCAGCATTTTGCCATTATCCATATCAGAAAGTGTCTCTGCAATGTCAGACTTTTGATTCTTAGCTGGCAACTGATGTTTGGACCTGACTTTACTCTCGGGTTTGCTTTTTCTGATGCCACCTTGCCGTACATTTAGTGCTTGCTTAAATTGTTCATCTTCCTTTTCCAGGTGAACTTTCCGAGTCGTGGCCCTTTGGAGGCTGTTGAATAAATCAGAAACATTATCCTGCTTTATTGGCTCTTGGGAACCCGGATAAAGACGTGTATTTGCTGCTGATGGGGTGATTGCAGGTATGTTGGTGACGGATTTATTGGCCGAAATAGAAGATGGAAAGACTTGTTTCATGACAGGTGGGTTATCAAGAGCATCATGTCTGTTTCTACTTCTGACGAGGGAACCTCTATCAGTTGATGTTGATCTCCTAATAGGAGGAGACGGGGATCTAGGCTTAATGGAGCTCATTGATCTCTCTTCAGCTAGAAAAGGCATTTTTGGTACAACGTCCTTGTCAGTGAACTTAGAGGGAACTCGAGGCCTTCTCTGCTTTCCTGAGGAACAGCTTCGTACCTGCAATTTAGATTAAAGAGATGAGATGCTACTTGTAGCTGATAAGACCACATGGAAACACAATATTTAGGCCTTGTTTGATTTAGTTCTTTGAGAATCACTTCTTTCCAAACTCATTTTCAATCACACATTCCCATATAATTTTTTCCTAAATTCTAACCACATATTCACCAAAAAAACACTTTTCAAAGAATCAATTCTCAAATAATCATTTGAAAACAAACGCTTAGTTATGTCTTATGAGAATCCGATCTGATATCACTAAAAGCACTCTTAGCCTGCTTAAACTCCAAAATAATCACAACTTAATTTTAAAGTCGAAGGTGACTTTTGAGTACTCAATTGAAAAATGAACTGTTATTTGTGGTTTCAATACAACATGATTCCTGGCAGTTACCTCTGAGCCATGTTGCTGAGCAGTCTCAGGCTTCGAATTAACACAATTGCCATTTTTCGACACCCGAAGAGGTGATAGCATGCCTTGAATATTAGTCCTACTTTTTAGTTGCTCTAATTCAGCCTCCTTTCTCTCCAGTGCGAGCTTAAGGTTTGAGATCTACACATTAACATGAAATAATAGAAGAAGTAAGTAGCTAAATAAAATCAATGCAATTGAACAAGTGATCGAAGATTAATGGACCTCATCTTTAAATTCTCTGAGCTCGCTGGCTTCTTTATTAGATTGAGCTGCCCCCAGATCTATAGTGGCAACTCTTTCTGCAAATTTCAAGGTGCTAATTGTTTCCCCTATAGCATTGACCTCTGGGTTTATATGCACAAACATCAATGTCTTAGCATGACCACCTGTGGAAAAGAGAAACTGAATATAAGAACCATATGGTTTCCAATACTGTAAAATCTAATCGTATCTTAACTCATTCACTAAGCTTTAAGATAAACGTGTTTCTTTCAATCTATTTTTTGAGAACTCTGAAGAGTAAACTAATCAGAATCTTTTCCAGAGCACGTGGTTTAATTCACTACCTAACGAATCTTGTAGTACTTGTGTAAGCTTGCTATTTCTATAGGGAACATGAGAACTCTTTTGTGCAAGAGCATAAATGACATCCCCAAGAGCAGAAAGAGATCTGTTAATATGTTGAGCTTCTTTCAATCTCTCACCAACAGCTTCAGATTTATCTACTCGCTCGCTTCCAGCTAGATCTACTAAGTGAAGGCAACCCTTTAACATGGATCCAGAGACCAGTTCTTTTCCTCGGACATGAATTGTTAAAATGCTGCGAAGTGTCACATTCAAAATTTATTACAATTAACAAGTGAAGATTGATGTTAAGGGAACAATATGAACTGAAAAGAGGTAGAGAAAAGTTCACCTGTGAGATCGACTGCTACGCTCATTCAAAGCTGTGGCACCCACAGCACGATTTCTTTGTCCAATTTTCATCAAATCAAGAACATCTTTAGTACATGTAACAGGAACCAAGCTTGCATCAGGAACATTAAGACCATTTAACTGAGAATTGTTGCGGATGTCTAATGTGTCCATTGTTAAGGTTGTTTTCAAATTCTAACCAAGCAACGCATATTGAAGCTTTGAAAGTCTTCATTTAACAACAATAAAAAGAAATTTGTCAAGGATATCTTCTATTACTCCCATGAACGACCAACAAATCTCTCACTTGTTCATTGTATATCTCAATCATTTGGACTCCAACCTCATATTTTATGACATCCATTCTTGCCTTTGAAATGCGAAACAAGTCACGTAGAGCACGATAATTCACCCCCCATGTCTCCTCCGTTGTCAAATCAGGACCACTCTGTAATCATGTTCAATTAGATATGAAATTAATTATCTCAGAAATCCACAACTTCTATACAAGGAAAGCAAGTTTGGCATATTCGCGTAAACAGGATATAATCCTAAAAAAACTCATTTCTATAGTGTAAGGAGTATATGTAAGCTAAAAGTGTTGCACAAAAGTTTTGGAGTTAGTCTTCCAGATTTTCTTGTCAAAGCTTTGGTAAAAGCATTTAATGGAAAGATTGATATTGTTTGAAACTAAGATCTAAATGTCTTGATTGAACTCTAGCTGGCATACTCAAACAAGAAATTAGAGACACCAATTCAGTGTTAAATGTATGATAGTTTCAGTAGTCTACAGAAACTCTATAGAAGAGAAGTGAAATGTGTGTGTGTGTATAAAAACTTTACATACTACCACAGCAGAGATTTGTGTGCAAATGAATTGTTCCTTTAAATGATCAGTTGTGAAAATTACTCTCCCATAAATAGAATGGCTTGTCCCAAATTGTAACTTGCAAAAACATAATGTCAATATGCCATACAAGGTTATGAAACCTATTGAAAGCAACAATCAGAACGATGTGCTTTTTCATACCATTGTATATGTCTTCCCTGAGCCAGTCTGACCATATGCAAACATACAAACATTATAACCATCAAGTACTGATCTGATCAATGGTTGAGTATCTGCATATATTTGTTCTGCAAATTTTAAAACAAATCACAGTGAGATGTTTTCAGAAGCTCAAAATTCTATATTGATGGTAATAGCGCTATTATTCTTTGCAAATGTACAGATTCGTAAATAATAAAAATGTCAAAAATTTTATTCTCCCTTTCTGGTCAACATGATTGTTGAATGATTGATTTTAACGTCTCTAATTCTAAAGCCGGCCAAAGTAAACTAAAGCACTGGAAAGAAGAGTTGTTAAAAGACTTACCTTGTGTCACATTTGCCCCAAAAACTTTATCAAACGTGAAAACCTTCCTTGCATCCTTACCCTGCTTTTGGGGACTAACAATCATGATGTTTCCATTTTCTCCAATGTAATCAACTGTAGATTGGTCACGAAACTGCCCCGGAAGGAAAGGCCTCACTCTACAAAAAACTCTAATGGTCCCTGCAGATAACATATTTATTCAACTTCAGTTTTACAAAATTGACAGTAAATTTTTACTCAAATTTAAAATGTATCACCTTTTAGGTCTTGGACTTGATTGTAAAGCAGTCGATTCTCTTCCAAAATTTTGTGATAAGAAGAAGCAGCCACTTCAAGGCTCTTAAAATGGTGCTCTGAAAAAGTAGTGGCCATGGTAAAGTTAAAGAAAATATTGCACCTAAGTATAACACTAAAATGTTGTTGTGCACTGAACAGTGCCAGCCTTTAACCGGAGCAGTGGTCTGTATCTCACCCAGCCTTTGAAGTTCTTTCCCCCATCCTAACTGAACCCACTGGACTTCTTGTTTTGTCTCTTTAAAAAGAGTTTTAAGATCCTGAAATGTAATATATTGAGAGAATAAATCAACAATGTCAGGAATAGAAGTACAATTTTCGTGCAAGAAAATTAAGGCACATAATATCATAAAAGTTGACACACAGAATAATAATAAACCTAGGAAGATATATTTTTACAGATACACCATAATGTTAGCAGGAAAATCAGATAGTATCCACTATTCTACAGTTTACTTATGAGGGTCTGCCAAGTAACTTGAAAGTTGGACCTAGAGCAACAAAGCTTTCGAAGGGACTAGTCCAAATTAATTGCGCAATACTAATTTTGCTTTATCGAGCTCACTCAGAGATACAGATTCTATCAGAGTGCCTCAGCCATCTCCCGCACTTCATATACCTTCATTCCTCATTTTCTCAAAATACAAATTTACATGAAGTGATTTGATCACTAACACTTCAATACTTAGGATAATCAAAGTTTTCAACTCAATTAAACTCAACAAAGCGTTAAGCATATACTTGTATGCTGAAATATATCCGTAATCTACATTTTACAGTCCTCTCCTACCGCATACTCTTTTCATCTGCTTTACTTCTGCGAACTTATTTTACAGAGTTTGTAAGATCTATTAATGTGGCAATGAAATCTCAATGAATGTCCCATGTTTGATTCTATACCTTCCTCCTGGACTTCAGTTAGCAAAAAAAAGAGGGTCAGCAAGTAGACAACCAATTGATTGAACTTCAGAAAGCAAAAGGTAAAAATAGAAAGTGCAAACTTATTCTAACTTCTATGCAACAGTATATGACATTTATTATCCTTAATCTACATTCTATGGTCTTTTTCTGCCGCACATCTTTTTCATCTGCTTTATTTCCACTTATTTTATGGAGTTGTTGAGATCTATTTACCGTGCCAATGAAATTTTTTAGGAATATTCCTGAGATGTCATGTTTGATTCTAACACCCCCCCCCCCCCCCCCCCCCCCCCCCCCC